AGTTATAAAGAACTAAATGTAATCAATAAAAATTTACATTGTAACTTTTAATTTAAAAATAATAACATTTGAAATGATTTAAAAACTGTTATAATATGACTTACCCAACTTAAACCATTTCCACAATTTTGGGAAAACCAACTCTTATCCGGGAAGTGCCGAGAGATGGTAACTATATAAGAATAAAGTTGCCAAGAAAATAATGTAGTCTCATACGGGCGTAGATAGAGACAAATTACAGGAAGCTGATTGGTCAAAGGACAACACTTTTTTGTCCTTGGTAAATGAATGTCAGTTGCAAAGATCAACGAATATAGACATTAAATTTTAAATAAAAATTATATAAGTATGTAAATGCGAATGACTGGCATATTTGATTTTTTAGTTAAGTGGCTAAATAAAATCCAATATTACTAGATATACACCATTATTTACCAGATAATAAACTATCATTCCAGTTTAAATAGAAATTTCTATAAATACTTCTACATTTTACTAAAATGTTACTGTCAAAAATAAATATAAATTTCATTATTCTTTCTAATAAGTTATACAAATATACTAATATGATAAAAATCAATTGATGTTAATTAATATTATAATAATATTAACATACTTCTTTAAATAGAAAAAATTGTATTTAATCTACATTCTCCACGCTATTTTCGCGCGATTTTCAAGCTTTTCAATTTTTTCGATTATTACACATTTCTAATGATATCCGAGCTTAGTTAATTTAATTTTATAATGAAATATTATTTAAAGAATGTTATCTTACAATAAATAATCGATTTTTTTATAAATAATTGTGTTTCTTCATTTTTCCTGATGTTGAAGTCCTTTCCTAGATTCCTGTTGTGGCCTGAGAATACCATCTCTACTTCACAAGAAAAGAACATTAATTTTTCTTTATTATAAGTATTATAAGTATTTATTTGTGTTGTAAGCATTAATTAAATATAATAGAGATGACGAGGATTGTAATAGCGAATAGAAACAAGGAAATGAATAGCAGTAGGTAAGGATAGCACTAGAGAAATAAGTTAGACAAGGAAAGATATAGGGATAAACAAAGACAGAAAATTTCAAAAGTAAAACTAGCGCCATCTCGTGTTTGGCCGCACGAACTAACAATTCGTTACTAGAAATACAGAATATAAACAGAGGTATTAGACAAGGAACGCACTACTGTGCGAGAAGGACAGAGAGAAACCGTTTCCTATTGGTCCGCGGGCGGCATAGCTATGTCTCCCACGCAGTGTATCAAGTCCATCAGGGAAAAATCATTAATAACTCATTAATTAGGATGAATATGTGAACTTTTAGAATTGAAGAATGTAGTATTGACCTATAGCAACTTTCACATATAGATTTCAATGCAATAAATCCTTTCATTAATTAGTTATTAACAATTTTAGTACGTGATATCGGGAACGATACCGCATACCGTCATGTATCTTTACGTTTTTTCAATAATTTCGTAACTTTCTACTGAATTCTCATACAACTAGCTATACGCGTCTGAAAGGCAACTCCTTTAGCTACATTCATATATAATTTTTATTAACATACCCCTTGTAGTTTAAAAGTTATTAAACATTATATGGGAGTGTCGCCTACTCATCGTCTTCGAGTATAGCCAACTCTTACAAACAATCGCTAATAATTAATAAAGTACATCACGTACGCAATTAAAAACTATTGTAGAATGTAGACGAAGGTCCATACTATATTCTCCATGCTTGAAAGTGCACAATCAGTCACTCATATTCGTGAAAATGACGGAAGTCCTATACGTTTAAATGCTACGAGTGTAGTACTCACCCAAATAATATTTAATAACTCGTAAACTACAAAGGACATGTTAATGAAAATTTAACGAGAAACTAGTTAAAGGAATAGCCTTTCGAATCAATGTATGAAAGTGCATAAATTGTTTCTACAAAGTTACGAAATTAATGAAAAACCAGAAGAGTGTGCGATATTGCTGCCGACATTCCGTACTAAAATTGTTAATAACTAATTAATGGAAGGATTTATTGCATTGAAATCTATATGTGAAAGTTGTTGTAGGTCCATACTACATTTTTCAATTCTAAAAGTTCACATATTCATCTTAATTAATGAGTTATTAATTATTTTTCCCTGATCGACTTGGTACAGCGCATGGGAGGCAGAGCTATGCCGCCCGCGGACCAATAGGAAGCGTTTCTCTCTATCCTTCTCGCACACTAGTGCGTCCCTTGTCTAATACCTCTGTTCACATCCTGTGTTCCTATTAAAAAATCGTAGTTCACGTCATTAAATACTAGATGGCGTTAGTTTTACTTTTTAAATTTTTTGTCCTTATCTATCCCTATATCTTTCCTTGTCTAACTCATTACACTACTTCTACCCTTGCTTACTCTTAGTTATCTATGAAACATTTTAAAAAATTGCTTATGAAGCTTAAAAATTTTTGACTGTAATTAAAAATATTTAAGATTTGTTAATTTTGTCCAAAAAGTGCTCCTCCATCATGATTTCTCTTTATCAAAGAAATTTTATTTAGAAAAAAATAAAATCCCTATACCGTTTAAGAAGTGTAGTAAAAATAATGTTCATACACTAAATCTTATCGATCTTTGCCAAAATCCTAGAACCAACATAAATGCACAACGGCGAGGGTTCTATGTGAAATGACGTACGATGAGTATGATGACGAATGGGGTACCATACCATTTCATATACAACCACCGCCACTGTGCGTTTGCATTAGTTCTAGGGTTTTGGCAAAAATAGATGAGACTCAATGTACAAAACATATTTGCTGAAAATCATATAAATTTGAATTTACACTTCATTTTCTAATAATTAGAAATTATGCCAAAAATAATATTTATTGAAGGTTTACTTAATATTTCAAATAAAGTATTAAAGAAATTTTTATTCTGAATGTTTGAATGTACTACGTATAGGAACATCTGTTAATTCTATGTAGAGAGTTTTCTTCAATATAAACTTTCAAAATGGGCAGGTGTATTGTGTTTAAATTCAAAGTTATTCTTCGATTGCTCTGTAACAAGTAACCATTAACTACCATTGTACTATTAATTTATTGTCTAATTTTCATTTATATTAAGTTGATAGCATTGTATTACCAAATAGCCAATCAGCACTAGTCTTGACACGCCCCTTGAATATTCGTTTTTGGTGACTGAATGCGGGTCAGAGAGTAAACAGTTTCGATAAATTTTTCATTGATTTTGTAATTTTTATTGATTGATGCTCTGATTGACATTCACAAAATTTTTCAATCATTTAAAATGGTGAGTTTAATGTTCCTAATCGATAGTTGTAACGTTATGTTTCTTTGTTAATGATATTAATAGTAATCAGTGTTGAAATTGTTAATAAGTAATATTCAGTACAGGAAGATTTAATTTTGTGAAAACTTTTATTTACAAAAGAATTTTTTAACAGCGTTTATTGAAAAAGTTTTCAATTTTTAAAGATAATACCTTGTAAAAATTTTCACTTAACCTCAAATGAAATAAACGTCAAAATGGCGCCACCCACTGACATACATATAATTTTGATTATTCCATCATTTTTAAAAAGTTGAAAAAACAAATTCGTTTATTTATTTCTCCATATTTTCTAGCGTCTATAATTTTTTTTAAATGCATACGGAAGTGTTTGAATTATGCAGTTTCCGTACTGACAAATTAAAATTAATATTCTTTAACGTCTCTTGCCTTTCAACGACAATGAATCGAAATTAGTGAAAGTTCATATTTATAAATGAATTCATATCGAGTTAGATTAACATTGTAAGATTTTAAACATATGAAATTAATGTTTATTAGAAATATGATTGATATTATGTGAAGATAATTCACACAGTTATAGAATATTAAAAATTAAACTGAATTTACTTTTATGTACATTAATTTCAAAGACGGAGCGGCAAATGGATTGTGCATTGGATTTGATGAGAAGACTGCCACCTCAGCAGATTGAAAAAAATTTAAGTGATTTAATAGATTTAGTGCCATCTCTTTGTGAAGATCTTTTATCTTCTGTTGATCAGCCTTTAAAAATTGCAAAAGATAAAGAATCTGGGAAAGATTATTTACTTTGTGACTATAACAGAGATGGAGATTCCTATAGGTAATTAATTCTAACAAAATTTCTATCTATATTCCTCATAACACTATGTTATTATTTCATTGTACTAATATGAATCAGTTGGGCTATAGTATTAGTATAATATAAAATAAATATTACAATTAAGACACTTTAAATTGTAAAAAAAATATTTGTGTAGATCTCCTTGGAGTAATACATATGATCCACCACTAGAAGATGGCTCAATGCCTTCTGAAAGACTTAGAAAATTAGAGATAGATGCAAATCATGCATTTGATCAGTATAGGGAACTCTACTTTGAAGGTGGAGTTTCTTCTGTTTATCTATGGGATTTGGATCATGGTTTTGCAGCAGTAATACTGATTAAGAAAGCAGGTGATGGCTCAAAAAAAATTAAGGGTTGTTGGGATTCAATTCATGTAGTGGAAGTTCAAGAAAGACCAAATGGAAGATCTGCACATTACAAATTAACTTCAACTGCAATGCTTTGGTTACAAACTAATAAACATGGATCTGGGACAATGAATCTAGGTGGAAGCCTTACTAGACAGGTTTGTTTGCAATTATCCTTTGTATTAAAATTAAAATTGATTCAAAATCAAGTCATTCTTTAAATGTAATTTAATTTAATAAAATTTGGCTTCTAGGTTGAACAAGATGCCCAAATAAGTGAGAGCTCTCCACATATTGCTAATATTGGCCGTATGGTTGAAGATATGGAAAACAAAATCCGAAATACTTTAAATGAGATATATTTCGGAAAGACAAAAGATATTGTAAATGGTCTAAGGTCTGTTCAATCACTAGCTGATCAAAGACAACAAGCAGCCCTCAGACAGGATCTCGCTGCCGCATTGCAAAGGAGAAATGCTAATAATTGACCCCGCGAGAAAGTGTTGCAGGTATTGTAATTGTTACTGAATTGTTGCAGTTACTGTAACACGAATTTTGAAAAGTGTCCTGTGATATGCAGGGTGCAACGGTAAAGATGAATTTTTCCTGAAGTATTAAAGAATTAAAGAATGAATAATTGAACATCAATTATTAATTATGTCGAGATTTTGAATAAAATATTAA